GGTCCACCATTTCTTACTTCTTTTCAGTCGGGCAGTTTCTACACTTTCTAAATCTCCATTTTCTGGCTAATGAAAAGAAAGTATGATTCTACCGAGTCTCCTATCTACCTACACCAGGATTTCTGTGAGGATCAAATGAGATGAGGCACGGGAAAATGCTTCACAGACATTTGGTTAAACTGTGAAATGTTTGCACCTGGCTATAAAGCAAGAAACTCCAAGGATGATAGTCGCTAGGGAGAGGAAGCCAAGCATTGCTATGTGACGCCATTACCCAGCAGCCACAGTCACCGTTTCCGGGCTGGGCTGGGCTGTGGGCTGCATTTTTCGCCATGGGGTCTCAGCTGCAATTTGGTGGGGTGTCGCCCTGGGGTGGTGGCGGGGCCTGTGTCCCACTTGGGGGAAGCTGAGTGTTGCTTTGTCGATGCCAGGTCCGCACTGCCTTTTCTCTGTAAATGGCCAGTGTGCATCACAACAGCTCCTGTGTTGAGCGTCTGCCCCCTGGTGGTCAGAGCGCATCATAGCAATCGGTCAGACAGGCGGAGGGACACTTAGCATATTAGCCTTTAATATATATAGATTATAGACAACCTATTCGAGAGAGAAGTAATCAATGACTTTTCATCACTGACATACCAAACTACAGAAAAGTTATTTCCAATAGAACATTGAAAACTGTGAACTGCGATGTCAGCTGGAAAAGGTAGGTTGGGACCAGTACTAATAGAATACCAGATACTGGTGTAGATACAAAGCTATTAAAGAGGTTGCAATTAATTGCCTAATCTATGTTACATTATTCCTCAATGTATAACTGGCAATAAAAAGCATACCACCCAATTTTGACTCAATGTGATCAGAATGGTTATAATGTCTTTCTCTAAAAAAAAATAATTACTTAAGCCCTGGCTGGTTTGGTTCAGTAGATAGAGTGTTGGCCTGTGACTGAAGGGTCCTGGGTTTGATTTTGGGTCGGGGCACATGCACAGGTTGTGGGCTCGATCCCCAGTGGGGAGTCGTGCAGGAGGCAGCTGATCGATGATTCTCTCTCATAATTGATGTTTCTGTCTCTCTCTCCCTCTACCTTCTCTCCGAAATCAATAAAAATATATTTTTTAAAAAACTTAATGAATATATTGGGGTTTTCCCCCCCACCTTAATAGAAAGTGTCTGTTGTAGTAAAAATGTTTGTGCTTCTTCAAGGCACGAATAACATCTGAAATGATGATTTCTAAGATTTTTAGAGTTCTGTTCAAAGTGGTATATATATCTGAGCAATATGTTTAAATCTTGACTAGTACGAATATGTTGATTTAAAATACAAGAGAATAAATTTAATTTTCAGTTTAAGAAAAAGCCAAACATGGTACATAGAGTTGATCACCAAGAGGTTGACTTTCCCACTAATAACCAAAAAGCTAATTAATATTACATTTGCCACTGCCTCAATTTGAAACATTCCAACTTTCAGTATTTAGTGGAACAAGGCTCATCCAAAGTCTGAGAGTACAGAAATAGCTTAAGAAATTATCCCTAATTTTGGGTTCAATCTGAATATGCAGAATTATCTGAGCCAGCTATTGCTTGCTACCATTTCAGCAATCTATAATTTTAAGTTAGCAGAACTAAGAACAGGGAAAAAAAACGTATAATTTGGGGAATCTGACCTATTGTGCAAGCTCCTGAGCTCTAAAGAAAAGCTGGTAAACAACATCTCTTTCACAGATGTGACTTATTATAAACAATAACTATTATTTTCTTAAATACTTTTTTATTGCTTTAGGTATGATAGTATTTTTCAATTTACCAAATATTAGTGGTATGCTTATACAGTGTATATCCTCTGAGTTCCAAAGATACTGAAATACTGAGATTCAATTACATAATGTTCAAAAGTGCTTTTAGGTGAAATAAGATTGCCTAGAGTCTAATCCTACTCTGATATTTACTTAAAATCTCATTTCTTGCCTGGCCGGCATGGCTCAGTGGCTGAGCTTCGACCTATGAACCAGGAGGTTGTGGTTCGATTCCCGGTCAGGGCACATGCCCAGGCTGCGGGCTCAATCTCCAGTAGGGGGCATGCAGGAGGCAGTTGATCAGTGATTCTCTCTCATTATTGATATTTCTCTCTCTCTCTCTCTCTCTCTCTCTCTCTCTCTCTCCCCCTTCCTCTCTGAAAACAATAATAAAAATATGTATTTTTTAAAAATCTCATTTCTTGTTTATAATTGTGGGGAGTTAAATATTGTGATCATGAAAATACCTTAACACACTGTCTTATATGTAATAAACACTAATAAAGATTAATAAACTATTACTTATTCTTTGAAGTTGTTCAGACAATTGAGTGTATAAAAACCTAAAAGCTAATATTTTGACGGTACTGCTAAAATTTGATTTAGGAATGTATCCTTGTACTAGTAAGAGTTTAAGTCTTCCATACCTTGTCACTTTCAAACAAAATGGCAATACTACACTATACCCAATTTGAAAAAACTAAAAGCTATTTGGCCTTTTCATTTTACCTCTACATTTTCCAGTTACAGATAACTACTGCTAGCCTCCAAGATGGTGGCCAATGAGCCTCACATCTCTTGGCATTTGTGCCCTTGCACCATCTCCTCTCACAATAAAAAGTGCTGACCTGTGTAACCAAAAAGATACTGCAGAAATGACTAAGTGGGACTTTCAAGACTAGATCATACTAGTAAAGGACACTGTGACTTCCGTTTTGCTCACTCTTGGATCACTTAATCTGGAGGAAGCCAGCTGCTATGTCATCAGGACATTGAAAGCAGGTCTATGGGGAAGTACACACAGCAAGGACCTGAGGCCTCCTGCCAACAACAGCCAGTATGGGTGTGCCATCTTGGCAGCAGATGCTACAGCTAAGTCAAGCCTTCAAATGACTGCAGCCTCAGCTGACATCTTAATTACAACCTCAGGATAAGCCCAAGCTAAGCTGTTCCCAAATTCTTGGTTCACAGAAACTGTGAGAAAATAAATGCTTTGTGATAACTTGTTACACAGAAATCCTATATAATAAAAGCCTAAGAGGCTAAGTGTCTGGTCGTCCAGTCAAACCAATCAAAACGTAATATGCTAATGATATGTTAAGGTCGCTCAACCGCTCGCTATGACGTGCACTGACCAGCAAGGGGCAGACAATCGACCGGTCGACCAGTCGCTATGATGTGCATTGACCAACAGGGGGCAGATGCTCCGACCAGTAGGTTAGCTTCCTGCTGGGGTCCGGCCGATCGGGACTGAGCAAGACGGGCCAGACATACATCCCTCCCCAGCCCCAATTGTACACCGGTGGGGCCCCTCAGCCTGGCTTGCACTCTCTTGCAATTCAGGATCCTTCAGGGGATGCTGGAGAGCCAGTTTCAGCCCGATCCCGCAGGCCAGGCTGAGGGTCCCCACTGGTGCACAAATTCATGCACCGAGCTTCTAGTATATAATAAATCTGTTTGCCAAAAATCCATGTGAAAAGACAGTGCTATTTGGTGTGGGAAGGGGAACACAGAAAAGAGAAAGAGGGAGAGAAATGGGAATGGAGATAATCAAAGCGAATAGAATAAATCAATGCAAAGTATTCAAAAATATTTCAGGCAGTCATTATTTCTAGGTTCCTAAGATCATTTTAATTTTCTTGTTTGTCCTTATCTATATTTTCACACTTTTAACAATAGTTTACTTTTCAAAAATATACTTTTTAATTTTAAAACTCTCCAAATATTCACATGTATAATTTTATTATGCAGTAATTAATTGAAAACAACGTAAGGTCAACTGTTAAGATCACTATTCATTTCAAACCTACATGCAATCACTGTGCTAACTGCAAGAGAGGACTAAACAATGAAGACAGCAAGATTCCTAACATCATGGAACCGTAACTTAGTAGAAGAAACAGTCATGAGGAATCCAATATGGCCTAGAACACAGTATATGCCCAATAAATATTTGTTGAATAAATATGAGAAGTAGGGAATACTTTTTAAAAAAGGCACACCTACAACTGGGAGAGTCAGAGTGGAAAAGAAACAAGCTGGTATTTAAACTGAGCCTTAAGTAACATGTAGAATTTCAATGAATAAAGTTGAAAAGAAGGGCAATTAAGGCATAGGGAGCACAATGAGTAGTCACAATGTCAGGAAGATACAGGGAATTTCCAAAGCATTTTCAAAAAACAAATAATTAGAAAGTAACCCAGTATAGCTGGAATACTGAGATTATATAAAGAGACAAAACTGGAAAGACAAATTGGAGCCCGACTATGGAGAATTCTGGTTGCTTTATGAAGTGGTCTGAATTTTGGATTTCATTCTAAAGGAATAAGGAGTTATCTATCACAAGTTCAATCCATATGCTATTCTCTCTGCTTTTACATTTTAGGTTTGAAATGTTATATAATAAAAGTTTAAAAAATGAAATCATTTTTGAATCCTCACTGCTGACAATGCAAGAATAGCAGGGTCAGACCTGAAGCAAAGAACACCATTAAGAAATTATTACAATAGTTGAAAAAGAGGCGACAAGGGTCCAAAATAGGGCTTTAGGGGTTGGATGGGCTATGTGAGTAACTGGGAGAAAAACAACAACTCAGAAGTCTAACTGGATTTAGGGCTGCTGAGACAGAGGAAAGGAGGAAATTTAAAGGTTTAAAGCTCGGTGCCTGAGAGCATAATGATGCCACAATAACAGAAACATACTTAAAGCTTGCTGTTTGTGTATGCATATGTGTGTGTGCATATACACACATACACACATATGCATACACACATAGTATTTATATATGTAATCCGATATTTAAATGTTATCTAATCTAATAAAAGAGAAACATGGTAATTAGCGTACAACCGCTACCCTTTTCATTGGCTAATCAGGGCGATATGCAAATTAACTGCCAACTAAGATGGTGGTTAACCGCCAATGCAAGGGCAGAGAAGCAGCCGCCCCCAGCGTATCCGGCCGCGGCTTCTGAGATCGGAGACTGCAGAAACTGGGTGCGTCAGCTTCCCGGCCCCGCACCCGGCTTCTGCAATCAGAGACTGCAGAAGCTGGGTGTGCCAGCTTCCCGGCCACGGCTTCCCTGCCCCGCACCCGGCTTCTGCAATCAGAGACTGCAGAAGCTGGGTGTGCCAGCTTCCCGGCCACGGCTTCCCTGCCCCGCACCCGGCTTCTGCAATCAGAGACTGCAGAAGCTGGGTGTGCCAGCTTCCCGGCCACGGCTTCCCTGCCCCGCACCCGGCTTCTGCAATCAGAGACTGCAGAAGCTGGGTGTGCCAGCTTCCCGGCCACGGCTTCCCTGCCCCGCACCCGGCTTCTGCAATCAGAGACTGCAGAAGCTGGGTGTGCCAGCTTCCCGGCCACGGCTTCCCTGCCCCGCACCCGGCTTCTGCAATCAGAGACTGCAGAAGCTGGGTGTGCCAGCTTCCCGGCCACGGCTTCCCTGCCCCGCACCCGGCTTCTGCAATCAGAGACTGCAGAAGCTGGGTGTGCCAGCTTCCCGGCCACGGCTTCCCTGCCCCGCACCCGGCTTCTGCAATCAGAGACTGCAGAAGCTGGGTGTGCCAGCTTCCCGGCCACGGCTTCCCTGCCCCGCACCCGGCTTCTGCAATCAGAGACTGCAGAAGCTGGGTGTGCCAGCTTCCCGGCCACGGCTTCCCTGCCCCGCACCCGGCTTCTGCAATCAGAGACTGCAGAAGCTGGGTGTGCCAGCTTCCCGGCCACGGCTTCCCTGCCCCGCACCCGGCTTCTGCAATCAGAGACTGCAGAAGCTGGGTGTGCCAGCTTCCCGGCCACGGCTTCCCTGCCCCGCACCCGGCTTCTGCAATCAGAGACTGCAGAAGCTGGGTGTGCCAGCTTCCCGGCCACGGCTTCCCTGCCCCGCACCCGGCTTCTGCAATCAGAGACTGCAGAAGCTGGGTGTGCCAGCTTCCCGGCCACGGCTTCCCTGCCCCGCACCCGGCTTCTGCAATCAGAGACTGCAGAAGCTGGGTGTGCCAGCTTCCCGGCCACGGCTTCCCTGCCCCGCACCCGGCTTCTGCAATCAGAGACTGCAGAAGCTGGGTGTGCCAGCTTCCCGGCCACGGCTTCCCTGCCCCGCACCCGGCTTCTGCAATCAGAGACTGCAGAAGCTGGGTGTGCCAGCTTCCCGGCCACGGCTTCCCTGCCCCGCACCCGGCTTCTGCAATCAGAGACTGCAGAAGCTGGGTGTGCCAGCTTCCCGGCCACGGCTTCCCTGCCCCGCACCCGGCTTCTGCAATCAGAGACTGCAGAAGCTGGGTGTGCCAGCTTCCCGGCCACGGCTTCCCTGCCCCGCACCCGGCTTCTGCAATCAGAGACTGCAGAAGCTGGGTGTGCCAGCTTCCCGGCCACGGCTTCCCTGCCCCGCACCCGGCTTCTGCAATCAGAGACTGCAGAAGCTGGGTGTGCCAGCTTCCCGGCCACGGCTTCCCTGCCCCGCACCCGGCTTCTGCAATCAGAGACTGCAGAAGCTGGGTGTGCCAGCTTCCCGGCCACGGCTTCCCTGCCCCGCACCCGGCTTCTGCAATCAGAGACTGCAGAAGCTGGGTGTGCCAGCTTCCCGGCCACGGCTTCCCTGCCCCGCACCCGGCTTCTGCAATCAGAGACTGCAGAAGCTGGGTGTGCCAGCTTCCCGGCCACGTATATATTACAAAACATGTATATAACATATTTGCAACAGATATAAAATAATTCAAAATTTTATATTCCTGATTGTTTCTTAGGTTGATATAAATATTAGATGGAACCCTGGTCAGTGGCTCAGTGGTTAGAGCATCAGTTTGCACACTGGAGGGTCTCAGGTTTCATTCCCAATTAAGAGCATGTACCCCGGTTTCAGGTTCCATCCCTGACCTTAGTCAGGGTGTGTTTGGGAAGCAACCAAACGATGTGTCTCTCTCACATCAATGTTTCTCTCTCTCTCCCTCCCCCCCACACCCCACTCCCCTCTC